TTTTAAGAATGGTTTTATTTCTTTATGTTTAGAGAGAGATGCTTTGAGGTGATGGAGTAAAACCAGAATTGCTTGTTTAGTTTAAAGCCTCTCCTGGCAATTTCTAGTGCTCTGTTTCCACTGCTTGTGTTTGTAGAAATGTGTATTGAGAGTTTTTTTAAAGTAACCTAAAAGGAACTTGAGTCAGACATTGTTGTTTTTAATTCTGATCATTTTGGGGTTTTCGTTGTGTTTTTTTTATTATTTTGTTATTGTTTAACAAATTAATAGGATTGTGCTAGTATTACTATTTTTTATTATTGCTGCTTTTAAATAATAGTATATTCTTTGAGTGGTATAGATTCAGTTTTACTTTCTTCTCTTCCTGTAGCTGAAGTTGAGGAAAAATAGAATAATAGGACACTGGCACAAGCTTTATTTTTAACAAGATAAACCAAGGTACTGACTCTGTTTTCCTCGACTCCAGGTGTTCCTGCTAAAGAGAAAATTACTTGCAGAGGATCAGAACAACAACAAAGTAAGTGTGAGATGTAGAATTAGCTTTAAATACAGCTGCTTGTGGAACCATTTTTGGGTAGGGGAATGAAAGTCAAATAGTTACATATCTGTCTGCTGATTTCTCACCCTTCTTTGTCTTGCTTAGATTCAGTCTTAAATCTGAAACTCCCTGAGGAGAACACAAGAAATAGAAGTGTGATTTTAGTACTACCTGATAACTGGGGCATCTTTTGATTTTTAAAGCCAGAATTTCTTGTTTCATTTGAATAGTCCATTTAGGACTAATGGATCCAGGTATCAGACCTCAATCCTCGTGAGCAGTTTTAGCATTACCATTTAATTCTTGCAATACTTTTAGCTACCTTTTGTTTGCTTTCTTGTCTTACCATTACTTTCGTTTCTCACAAGCAAGTTAAAACCAGTGCCCTTGATGTCTGTCCTGGCTTTAGCAGTATCTTGTCTGACTGAGTTGAGAGTATAATTGCTGGGATAACTGGGAATTTGTGCATTTATTCATTTGGGTGTACATATTGTGGAAGGGGAGAGGTCTTTAGCATAATTAAGCATTAAGTTTAATAATTTAAGTGTGGATTTGAACAGTCCTTAGTGTTGCTAATGGTACGTTTATTCTAAATGCTAGCAAGAATTCCATAATTCCAATGCAAGTGTTGTTTCTTTGTCCCTTATTTCAATGAATCTAGTCATGAATGCTGTTTGGGTTCTGATTCTCAAAACACCGAATAGACCAAAACTGAAGTGGATGACTGAATCAGTCCAGGTGCTAGCAGAGATTAACTTTTTTAGCTTAATTCCTAAAGAGCTACTGAAATGCAAATGGGACTTCAGTGAAAAATTGTTCTAACAAACTCGCATCTCGATCCAGACCCGAGAGTTGGTTAGGAGAAGAGTGGTCTGGATTTTGGGCAAATGTCAAGAGTTTAGTGATTTGCTGGTAGAGGGAAAGGAAAACCCACACTTCAGGGATGAAGTGTGGAGCCGTATGTCTGGGATGGAGGAGGGGGGGGGTTTTGGTCCGTGCTTGTATTGGGTCCTGAGAAACGAGAGGGGAAAGGGAAGAAGGCGGTATAACGGCGATGTCTGTCGGGAATACCGCTGATGGCGGGCTGAGAGGCGCCGCTGCTGGGGATGGGGCGAGGGCAGAGCGCAGCTGTGAGCGCGGCCGCGCGTTTCGCCCGTTATTTCCGTTGGGCTGAATGAGCGCCGGGCCGGGCGGCGAGCGGGGCCGCGTCCAGCCGCTGCC